TAATATTCAATTTGTTGTCATACAGTTAAAACACTTTATTTATATAAAAACCACAAATCAAACCGGGATAGTGTAATAGAGTAAAAATTCAAATAGTTATTAAAAATACAAGCTTTATGTTAAATTTAGCACGAGTTAAAGGTTCAATTGGTTTATAATTGAACGTACCCATATCTCCTCAGTGTTACCTAACCTAAACTAAACGGTTTTAAATTTGTATGTTAAAAATCAGGATGAAAACAGTATGAGTAATAGTAAAAAGTTTAAACAAATTAAATAAATAATATAAAACTATAACAGTTAATATAAAACTCAAAAAAAATCTTCGAATCTTAAACTGTTTAAATAAAATTTTAAACAATAAAATCAAATAAATATTTATTAAAAACATACCCGTTATTTGAAATCATCAATTAAAAAATGTATTTAAATATAAGTTATAATTTGTAGGTACAATAAATAAACAATTTTGAACAGTTTATTATTTTAAATAATGTAAGTAAGCTGGTTAAATTTATAAAAAAGAAGTAAACCATTTTGACACGAGAGTAGGTTTTAGTAAACAATTTTTAAAATGTTAAAAATCAATTTAAAATACATGTATAAAAATTGTTTTTTTTTTTTTAAGATTTGCTAAAAAACCTGTTTTAAACGAGTAGAAATTATTAAATACAAAATAGTTTAAGACAAAACAGTTTTTTTATCTAAATACACGGCGACAGTATTTTTATTGCGTTTTCTGAAGGAAGCATATACGTGTAAGACCAAAATTAATATACATATATTTTAAAACATCCTCTTTCTAATGTACCTAATTGAAATTCTGGTTTTTAACAAAATTTGAAATATGCGCGCTTAAATGCTAAGCACTCAGAATCTCATTGGAAAAATATCTTCACCGTGTCTTTGGCGTTCCCTAATTTATTAGTAGGTAGAAAAAAAACAAATTACACTATTTCCAACTTTGGTTACAATCGCAGACGGAATCGTCTACAGTTTTGCTGGGACTGAAATTTGTTTTACCGTTTAGTTATAAATCTATTCAATAACGCACACGCACCCAGTTGGATGATGAGTCATGATGACAACAGCTACAAGCGTAGAATTAATTTGCAAGCACATCAAAGCAAACACACGTGCACTTTTTAACCTAAGCCGTTTATCGTACTGGTGGCCCCTTTGCTAGCAAAAAAAAAAAAAACTACAATAATAACAGTTATGACAACAAATTATTTATGTTGTTTACAACACCTTATTTTCGTTAAATCCAAACAGAAACAAAAAAACAGACTAACGGGGTAAAAAACAATGTTTTGTATGCAATCAAAAAAACAACAACCTTGAGCAACAACAACAGTTACCTATGCATGTGTTTTAACAATAATTTGTTTTTTTTTTATTAATAATAAGTTTACACTAGCACTGCGGTTCCACAACAACAGACCGTACAGATAAAAAAAAATGTATATGTAAAATCCGTCGATATGTGTTGCACTGCGAGCAATTCATAAAAAATTATTTACCAACAATATTGTCCACGGATAAAATAACATGTAGAAATAGATAGCCGGTTAAAATAACATTCCATACATTTTTTAATTTTTTATCTATAAAAGATGAGCCATTCCGAGAAGCCGATTAATTAAATTTTACCGCCAAATGATAAATCCCTCACAGACACCATCTCTGCTGGGCCTGTTTTATACTAAATACACACAACCTAACGAATGGCTAGTATTTTGCATGGAATTGCAATAAAATATTTTGGCGATGAGACACAATTCACCTCATAAAAAAAATTATCAAGAGGAGCGAAGCAACACGACTGGCAATCAAATAATGTAATTGTCTGTCGCTAAATATGATCTTTGACATTAACCATAGGCAAACATGGCAGTAAATTAAAAACAAGTCTGGGACTTTTATAATCTATTACTATACTACTACTACTACATCAAAAGACAGAGTTGATTCCACAATAATATTGTTTTGACTAAATTTAAAAGGTTAGTCAGCCAACGATTATTCATGGGAATCGTTTTATGTTAAAATTTACAAAAATTAAAAAAAATTACCAATTCGTTCCAATTCAACGACATTTTGGCAACACTAGTTTGGATGATGAACCTAACCTAACCTAACATAACGGTGAAAATGGGGAAGGAAAGATTTTTCACCAAGTCATAGTAAACAAGGGAAAATAAACACAAACGCATATCATAGCACTATTTTCGAATGGGAAAGAATACAAACGCATTATTATTCAACGAACTTGGAAACTAATAAATTATCGCTTTCGCGACAATAACAGACCTAAAAATCTAAAAACAGCAACAATAATTATTATGAAACGTGGTCTAAAATTATTTCCTGACCTACAAAGTACAAAGCATTGACATACAAATCGCAGGTCGTAAAAAACTATACACAACAGAGTTAGAAAAGCATAACAATAGTGACTAATGTTCGAAACAGCTATTTTACATAATATTTATACTAGAGTAGTCGTTTTTTGTTTTTGTTTTGTGAGAAAACGTTCATTACATTTTTTTTTCTTGCCATTAAGAAACTAGTCGTACTAAATTTGAACTGAATTACACGAAGATAACACGTGGCGAAAATGTCATTAATCAGATAAGTGTACTCTCAACAAAGTGTAGCCAAAATGTATTAAACTGGCGCTGACATAAATTGCTATGTAAATGTAAATATTACAACAGACATATAAATAGCAAAATACGGTTAACTTTTAGAATAATAATTGTTATAATGCCGGAAAATTAATTACGTTTATTTCAAGTATATTTTTAATAAATAAATAAATGATACTCGTTCCACGATTTTTGTGTTCTAATACTTTAAAAAAAGCAAAAACATCTAAAAAAACCATAGTAACCTGTATTATGGAATTGGATTCAATGTCATAATTAATTATTATATATTTATGTGTTACCATGTTTTAATTTTGGCATTTGAAGTATAATATTATTAAAATATGTACACACACAATATTTTTAATTTGAATCATTAGGTCTGTTATTTTTCATATTATTCGCAGTTCACACGAATAGATTTATTGTATAATTAATATTGTTTCCATTCGTTTTAAACCATAAGGGCAAAATAAAAAAAAAAACACAAGGACAGTTTATTTTGAGACAAGCCACGGCCTTCCAAAGTACGATATGGACAATAACAGAAAATAAGTCCAATCTCAAATCTTATTTTTCTATAAATTCTGCGATTAATGCAGAAAATTCGGTAGAGAATATTATTTTCTTCTTTTATGTAGGTACCCATTGGCAATACTTATTACCCTAGGTACTTTTTGTGTAATTAATTATCACCAATATCATATACCTTTCCCACAGAGCCAGCGCAGGTTTGTGGGTATATCACTATTGGACATCTTGTACATAAAGATCAATGATGATTACCAATGGTGGTTTACCCTCTACATTTGGTTTATTGTATTCAAAAATTTGACAGAGAGTCTTAACATTTGTTGGTCAGTGTTTAAAAGTATTTTTAGGAGATGCAGTCGGTGTAGTAAAATTATACTTAAGACTCGAAATTGGAGCTATATTAAATAGTGGATTAATATTATGACCGTTACAGTGGTTCGAGTATATAGGGTGTTCAAAATAGAAGGTGACACGGAATATTTGTTACATGGAATTCTGAACACCCTGCATATCTATAAAAAATATATTGCATAGTTTAAAATAGTTTCGTCCGAAATAGGGCTCGTGAATATTTGTAATACTTTTCTTACAAGTATTATAGGAGTACTAATACTAATTACTATCTACCAATACTAAAGACATAATATCTACAGATAAAGAAGCAGCCAATAAATGAATGAGAAGAAAAGTGACTACCGTACACGAAAATAAAGTAATTCATTTTAAAACTAATTAAAGTAATCAAAATATCGTAAAGGAAAATGTTTAAAAATAATCTCAACGTGATTACATATATTATATTATCTAAAAAGCATTTACACAATACGTTGCATTATCGATTAGTGCCATAGCCGCGGGACGAGGTTACCAGGGGCACGGGTACCTCCCCCCAAAATATATTTTTATGTAAAAGCCATAGTGAACTAGTGGATTACCGAAAAAAAAATTACTGGTTACGGTAGAATTTTTTTTTTAAGAAAAACTATTAACTTGTGTTTGATTTTTACCATTTACCTAGAACTCGGTTCTCCAGTAACCCGGTCATGATAAATAATAAATGTAGGTAATCAATATAATAATATACTAGGTACTGTATTTACATTATAGGGTCAACTAAAGTAATTGTAAACGAACGGGGCGAATGTGATATTTTTTTTAAACAAAATAATTGACAATTTTCAATTTTAACTCGACGCAGAGGTCCTTCAACGCTGCTATCATGCGATGATATAATTAACATATATATTATATAATGGCGTTTACATAACAAGTGACAACGTCCATAATATTATCCGTTTATCCAAGAACAATTATACTCGAGTACTTGGTAATGGATTTATTTTCGACAAAACTACAGTCGGATCGACGACCGAGCCTTTCACAGGGCGGCGGCCTCTACTGCTGCTGCCTACTGTTATCAGTTATCATAATAATATTATTATTGTATGTACACATAGAGCAGATAACTTTCCGGCGGCGCGTTATCAGCGTTTCTAATTATAGGCGACGACGTGCCTTTTGTCACACACACACACTAACGGCGCAAGTGCTGCAACGCGCGACCCATATCGACCGACTTTGGTTTGTTTGTTTTTTTTGGTTTAATTTTATTATATATATATATTTTTCAAAACCCAAGACTCCTCCTAACCGGCTAGTAAATAATTATTGAAATATCGTCGTTTCGAGTCGATCGCAGTAGTAGGTAGGTGGTACTACATACGTACACTCGACTAGGGGTGTATTTTTATGGAATAATTTTGAAAAAAAAAAAAAAAAACGGTTTTATTTTTTTTGAAAATCAGGTCCACTCACCGGCGTGTCGTATTCGTCCTGCGGCCGGTAAACGTCCTCGTTGGACGACTTGTGTTGGGAAAACGACTGTTTCCTTCCGGTGGTCGACGGTTTCCTGTCGGACGACTTTGGCGAACTCATCATAACGGCGACCGGTCGCGCATACCCGCAGCACTTGACATCAAAAAAACACAAAACACTAATAATAATAATAATATTATAATATATTTTGCACTACTATATCGAACGGAATCAATAGATATTTTGGGGGCACGATCACAGATTGGCAAAAAAAAAAACACCCTGACGTACAATAACCGTAAAAATAACACGAGCGATTAATAAAAAAAAAATGTATGTATAATATCAATTTATTTATAATATCGTGTGCAGTTATAACGTCGTTAAAAACAAAAAAATGAATAACGATAAAAAATGATAATAATAAGGTAAAAAACTAAACGCCGTCCGGCGACAACAGCTCTATGGCGGGTCGCACGTCAATACACGGCGCGTCGACGACTGACTGCGGCGGCGGCCGCCGAACACGAGCGGCTGCGGCACCGGCGGCGCGTGCGTAGTCAGCTGTTCGCCCTCACCGCCGCCGCGGTGGCCGCCACCGTTGGCGTCTGCCGGCGGCCGTCCATCGATTACACCGTGTTAAATTCCTATATCGCCGGTGCCACCTGACGCCGCCGAGTCTATTGTGGCGGCGGCCGTTGAACACCGGCCCACAGTGGACGTTGGTAAACGCCACTGAAGACGCAGGCGCAGGTGCACGCAGTGGCGTATTTAAGGGGCGAGAGGGGGGGGGGGGTAGTGTTGGGGCAATCGTCGACCCCCCCCCCCCACACACAACGTTCTGATTTTCCAAAAAGTTAAGTTTTTTTTAACTTCGTTGCTTCGAGCTTAGAAGGTGTTGTACTATACTTTACAATGTTACTTTACTTGTTAGAAAAAAAAGGTTTCATTTGCTGGAGTTATTTTTTTCTTCCAACTAATTTACCAGTTTTTTAAACGGTTTAAACATTAATAATTGCAATTTATTAAAAAAATACTGATCGCTTACCTAACCTAACCTAACCCGATCAATGAGGTGTTTCTTCAACGCATTGCTTATTTATGTTAATTTTATTAAAAGTTATCTCGTAGGCATTATTACTTCATTAGTAAAAATGATTTTTTAATGATGTATTAAATTTATAATAATTGTGTACTAATCTTTTTTCATGTGGCAAGTGTAGAGGTCAGAAATCGTACCGGAAAATTGGATTTATTTGGCTCAAAATTCAAAAAGTTTACCTCTTCCATTTGAAAATCGAAAAAAACGTTTAAAAAAAAAATTTCGAATTAGTCCCAATTTGTATGGAATATTCTTTAGATAAGGTACTAATGAAAAATGTAGACAATAACCCAAACAATATCAAAAATCCTTTTCCCAAGAAGTAATGGAAACTCTTTAATTCGCTTTTTTAGGTGTAGTCTTGGGGCATACGATCTGAATGTAGATCTATAGTTGGACTATTTTATAACGTACAATTATAATACATAAACTATAGTGCACAATTTTCTTAAATGTGTATTTAAACTTATTTTTATTAAGGAAAATCAAAACCAAGGAGAAAATTGTCCTTCGACAGTGATAAATTTCTGGGTTATGCTTGGGCAAATCTAAACTCAACAGGTAACAGGAAAAATAAGACAATTACCCTAATCGTATCCAGTCTTAAATAAAAAATTAATTTTTAAGCACATAATTGTCATTAGGTACAATGCTTTTATCGATTTTTTCCAATTCCCTTTATTCCCTGTTAGATTAGGTTAGTTGCCATTGTTACCAATATATAAATTATAATGTAAATATTTTAATATTAAATTAATACTATAACGAAAAGTACACTATAAAGCAAAGGATTTTTTTAGACCAGATGTTTTTAGTATACAAATTGTTCGCAAATCTACCGCTATAAAGAAATTAAATAAAAAGATTTTATTTTGGCAGATCAACTTTGTAGTATAAAAGGAATGTGTTTAGAGTGTTTATCTACTGTCAAAATATGACTTGCCTATCATATTATAAATGCAAAGGAAACCTGTAAGCAGCTTTATAACATTTTAAGTATTGAATCTTAAATACTATGAAAGATGTATAGTTTTTTTTCTCTATAGAAAAGTTGAACTTATCCCATCTTTCTACTGTAAGAAAACATATATTGTTTTAAAAAATTTCACCAAAACTATAACATATTTTTAAAAATGTCTTAAATAATTATTTAACTACTGTCTCGAAAAACCACGTGGTATACGCCTTACAATATAAGTTTAACCGTCATATTATTAAAACTTTATGGCTACTAGGCACGGGCAAAAGAGCAGAGCTGTTAACCACTGATTATTAAAATAAAAAAAATAAAAACGAAGAACTTTTAACACACTTGATAGTGTAAAAAAAATTAATAATCGATAAGGATATAGTCATAAAACTATACTAATAAAAGTAAGTACACTTAGGTTTTGTTTTTTTAATTAAAAAATTGACAAAAATTGCCTATGCCGAGCCCCTTAATAAATAAAACTACATCACATAAAAAATATGAATTCTTTTTGAAATTTATAACTTTTGCAGTTTTCACCCCCAACAGCAGTATTAGTACTGGTACAATATACTTACACAGATACCTTAAATAATGGCAATTATTTTATTTTTCTATTTCCCCTCCCATATTTTTAGTCGGTAAAATTTGCATCGAACCTATTCAATCGCTTCCAATAGCCTTGACTGAATGTCTGAATACTTATGTTATATATTAGATTTATCTTTAGTGTTTTTTTTGCGACTAGGGCCCAATTGAAAATTGAAAAAAAACACCTTTTCCATGACAGGGTACTGTCGTGTCTGATTTAAAGTAATAGTGAAATTCGTTCCTCTTCTTAACTGCCACGAGTAGAGTCTGAGTCTGGATTTTTTAGTTTACAAAGTATGTAACACAATTGCCAATTGGCAACATAATAATACATAATTCCAGTCGATTGGAACCAGTTGATGAAAACGGTAAATACTACTATAGTTAGAGGCGACTCTGTCTAAGATGTCTGCTCCGTTGGAAAGTTGTTTTTTTTTTGTAGCAGTAATTCGTCCAGTTTCCGGAGAGTCTTGCGCAAATTGAAATGCCTTATAATAAATATTATAATGTTATGTGTGCCACTAAAAGGTCACTTACATTGTATAATGCAAAGTGCCTGTGACTTGAACATCATAATTATTCATTTGTTTATTTGATTAGTTCCTCGAAATTAGGTCAGGAAATCATAAAAAAAAAACAAAGTATTTTCATAATTAATTATCTTCAACACTTAAACTTACCTTACAACGACCTGGGAGGCAGCCATTTTGTGTGTCTATTTCTTGAAAAGTACAAAATATGTTAGATTAGGTCATAAAGTAAAATATAATATAAGGAGAGGCCAACTATTATTTAATGGCGGCAATCCTGCAACCTTTGGTTGAAAACAATAAACTGTAGCGCACCATAGTATAACATGATAAGAATAATTTAATGTGTGATATTATTTACTGATTAGGTATGACCATATTAAACTGAAACAAATTAAACCATTAAAATCTGTATACAATAGTTAATTATTAGTAATATGGTAACACTGTATGTCAACCAATAGCACTTCAAATGTATTATCAAACGGCCACAGTCTGGATTGGGTGATGATAACACCTAAATCATAGAAAAAAACAATAAATATCATGGACGAAACAATAACTGTTCACAAAATTACAGCCGATTCCTCAGTAATATTATGTTAAATCATTTTTTGGTAATGACTTTTATTTTAATTAATACAACACATATAAAAAAAAATAATGAATTGTACCTATTTCTTGTGTGTTCATTTCATCCATACAAACATTTTCATTACATTTGCTCACATTTTTAATGTCACATTTACATTATTATGGTGTTCATATAGATTTTTTTGTAACACTTAAGAAATACTTTAAAATATTGAACTATAGAAAGTCAATTCCCATTTAGCTGCCGTACAATTTAGGTTAAGTAAGTCGTTTCCTCCCAGATTTAGATAATTATATATTACTACTAGATGGGTAATTGTTTTTAACAACTATTATAAGTACCAAACATTAACCGTTTCATTTTAGATTACCAAAAAAAAAAAAAACAATTTAAATTATTGTATTAATTGTTCAAAAATAACTTTCTCGTTGTTATTATTCTCATAACACTAAGATTATAGGTATGATTTGTATATTTATTATGACCGTGTGAAATCGTGTAAATTATTTTGTTAAAAAAACAAAAAGGTTCTGAGGATATCACAATATTTAGTTTTACACAGTAAGACACTAAAACATCTAGCTGTGCCACTGTTAAAATCAAATTATGTGATCTATATTTAGATAGGAAAAGTGTATTTAAATTGACTATAAAACCAATGAGATAATCCGCTTTGGGTTTAATCTCGGCATCTCTTTCTTCAAAAGAGTTATTCGGTATTATAATATGTATAATTGGTTAGACTATTTCAAAAATAACCTAAACAGTAATGGCCTACTTGATTTATTGATTTTACAGTGATCACAGCTGTGGCGCGAACACCTCGTTGGTAAATTCTCTAAAACTGGTTCTGTTAATCGCGTTTACTGTTTTTATATGCATTCCAGAAAAATGTAAAATAATTTTATCATATTATCTCTACTGTTGTACATCATTAATTTATACATCACATTATGAATAATAATAAAAACTCTCTAATATATGCAAAAAAAATGATAATCTCACGTTTCAAAGAACGTTGGAAAACCATATACACTGATTGCTCTGCTACCTACTTTGAGTCTTATATTTTATTATGTAGATAAACAAGAATGAATCAATATAAAAACTACCATAAGCACTGTTAAAGTAGACAACAACTGTTGGTACGAAATTAATATATTTAAAAAAAAAAATTATATTCAAATTACATTTCAGTAGAAAACGAATGATGTTTTATTATAATTGACAATATTGGCAATAGTAATTTTTTGGTATTTACTATTTATCAGAAATTTAGGAATATATATATAAAGATATATATGTTTATAGACTCGTTAGTATTAAGTATGCCAAGAAAGTTGTAAAACCTGAAATAAATAAACGGATGCCCCATCACAGAATATCCATATAGTCCTCACAACAGTATAATGTACCTATAAAACAACTATAAGACAATTTTCATAAAATCCAGTTTATAAATTATAACAAAAAACAACGTCCCGTATATTTACTGAATAGACAAACCCATTTCAATTGGGTTTTGAATTTGTATCATACAAAAAATGTATTATTTGCGATATTAAGTAGTAAAAAAAATGTCGTCGAGAACTTATCATTTTCCTTCTAAAATAACCTATACAATTATTATTCTATAAGATCATTCGGGTCTTTTTTATTGCATCAATTGTTTCAGATTGTATTATAAAGTATATTTTGTATAACTTTTCTGAATAGGTTCATAGTAAATCTAAGTTACCTAGTTGAATAAAAAAAGGAGATAGATAAACCTAAAACGATATAATTTTCCAAGTCATCTAATTATTAACAAAATGTTGATTGCTTTTAGTTAGATCATTTTTCATTTTTTTATTATTTTTTTTTTTTTTATTGTCGACTGCCTTACTTTAACATTTGATTGCTTAAATCACTCTTCTGTTTGGTATATTGTATACTTGTTTAAGTGCTTAATTTCTTGATTGTTTTTTTTTTTTATAAAATAAGATAACTCAACATTGGACTTGACAGAATTTTTTGATTACAAAACAAATAAATAAATATTTATTGTAATAATGACCGAGTAACAATTTGAAATACATTTTTATTTATCGTTCCAAACGATATTTTATTTAATTACATTTTTGTTGTACTTTATCAAATAAACTGTTGTGATAAATTTTACACATTTTAAGAAAAATATATTTTATTTTCATACTTAATACCGAATATTATTATTTCTAATTTGTACTTAAAAAAATAAAATAGTTAGTTAAATTGAAAATGTATTTTTGAAATTCATTTTTTTTACTAGTCAGCCAAAAGTTGGGGTGATTTGTTGTTTCAGATTTCAGTTGTTTAAATTGTAAATAATCGTCTAAATTTTTTATAAAAAATAATTTGATAAAATTTGATTAATATAATCGTTTGAACTTATTGGCATAATATTTATTCTAGTCGTCCAATTGAGCGCAATCGTTTTTAGATGGTAGTTAATAGTTTCTTTTTTTTTTTCTATTATACATTATGAATCATTTTTTTTACTTATGTCCGACGTGAGGTAAATCGTTTATCATACTAACAGTAATTCAAAGTATTAATAATAATAGTAATATTATATTCTGTTCAATTCCAGCGCCGAATTAATTTTCACGACGCGTTTTAGAAATCATTTTTAATCGTCAAAATATTATTATTATTATTAGTGTTTAGTGTTATCGGTCGTCCACGCCGTATTTCCGGTCAGTGTGTTTCATTTCCTATCCAATGATTATAATAATATAAAATATATAAATGTACGGTTAGTGGTTTATTTAGTATGTATGTATTTGTTTCGTTTCTTTACTATAACGAGACAACAAGTGTTGCTTTTAGTTTCTATTTTTTTAATAATACTTTCTTGATTTAAAATTTTTAAAAAATGCGAATTGAAATGAAACAATAAACGCGAAACTATGTAACTTTAAGAGCTTGTTGTAACAGGGAACACAACTAAAACACAAAAAGAGTCATAACTACTGAACTAACAATTACACATCACATGTTTAACCTTTAAGATTTTGTAAAAAAATTGCCTATACTTTACTCCTTAAAAGTGGGCAGTGATCCACAGATCAATTAAGATAAATGTGTTAAAAATGATAATTACTTTTAGAGTCATTTAATGTTTAAAATTAGTGGAAGGAGGGGATTTTTTTTGTTTTCTTCTACACACAAACAGCGAATAATTGTTTAAAAAATGAATATAAAAACACAGCTTTACAATGTTTTACAGTTGTTGTCAATTATTCTAAAATATTTATGTATAAAAATTATAATAATTCTAATTTATATGAAATTGGGTATACATTTTTTTTTTAAATGGATATTTTTCAAACTGTCTTTTTTTAACTTAAATTGTTTTTCTTATAATATATTTTTTAAATGTTTTAGTGCATTTTTTCCTAAAAATAGTTATATTTTCAAATGAAATCAATTTTTTAAAACGTTTTCAAAGCAACTCGGTCAAGTTGAATATTATTCCAAAAAAAAAAAACATATTTTGAGTTTTAACATAATTGTTAATAAACAACTTTTTTTGTCCCAAAAGAATAGCAAACTATCATACAAACAATACTATGTTTTGTATATTAATTTTCGTTTCTTGAAATCATTAAGTTGAAAATTGAACTGTATTTTATAGAAATTAAAAAAACGGCGTCGAGGAAACAAATTTGAAAGTATAATTTTTTTTTTTTACTTGAAAACTTTTACCCGTTTAAAAGTGTATAAGCAAATTACCACAAGTTCAACAGAATGTAAAAACGTTTGAAGGTGTGAATTATTGTAAATTGTGTTATCTTAAGCCAAATACAAAACAAAATCTATCTAAATTTGTTTATTGTTTTTTTAATTTTTGATTTTGGCAACTTGGATCACATTTTCATTTACAAATTTCATTTGCCGGTCTAATATTATAATTACTTTTTTTTTTTATAGCGTTGTTTTTTGCTTTTTATGAATCATTATTTGGTTTTCAAAACAACAGCTGTGTTGAGTGTTGCTGATGCTGTTTTTTATTTAATTTTTTATTTGCACATACGCACAGAGGACGGTTTGGAAAATAAATAATTTTTTTAAGGTCACCAATTTTTTTAAACTTCCATTTGTTTTTTCAATTACAAACGCATTCGACAAACGAGTCAAACGAGTCGACCGATGGTGAAAAAAATAGAAAAAAAAATATATATAATATTTATATACTTAGTACTTAAATATGTACTTTTCGGGTGTTGGCTTCGGTAATGTATTTTATCTAAAAAACTGTTTTAAAAACGGATCTCTGTTTTTTTTTCAGAGATCAGCACAGCCTATATTATTATGTTTGGCATCAATTGATTGAAAAAAAAACAACATAGTTTAGCGTTGGATGGAAATCTACAAACGGTTTTGTCGCCTTGGTCGTTTCTCTTGGTGGTGTTTGGTCAAAGCAGTGAGTCTAAACTTGTCTACAATTTTTGGGAAAATTTAAATAAAACTTTCATCAAGAAAATTGTTTCAGTCGAGTTGACTTGTCTCATTTTGTTTTGATTTTTTATCATAATATGTTAACTAATTTTAACACTGTCCTTCAATAGTAGCATAGTTTAAAAAATAAAAACAATAAGTTAAATACATTTAGTATGTTAAGTATTCCGAAACGATTATTATTTTTGAAAACTTGTATTTACATTTTTCCAACAAGTTTGGACTTATTACTTTTACCCAAACACATACACACAAATGATGTAACTTTGTGTGTGTTTTATTTTAATAATAAAACAAATTGAATAGTGTGTGTAATTAACGACTCTAACGAAAAGGTGGTAAATATAAGCATTGATTAAATTCGTATTTAATCAATGATATAACAGTAATATATATATATATAAGTGACTAGTGAGTGTGTATATATATATATATGTATACTTACATGTAACAATAAAGATTTGAAAAAAAAAACACATATAATAATAATAATACAACAAATAAAAGAACGGTTCGTAAAATAATATAATTAAAAATATATACAAAATACAATTCTGCAGTATTTATAATAATATCGTTGCCCGCAAAGTGGACAATACAGGTCTTTTTTTTTTTTGCTGGTACAGTACTTACAAATTTTTTTTTTGTGGGGGGGAGGAGAGGAGTGGGATTTTAAGGGTAGGCCTACCGCTAGGATTGAGAAAGGGGTCCAGCAGGGGTTTTTTTCGCTGGTAAAGCCGAGCAAACCATTAGGTCCCACTTAAAAGAAGAACAAAGGTTCTTTCGTTGGTGTAGGGGTGAAGGGGTGATAATAGTAGTTTAAACAGCAGGACTAAACCGGAATGTGTCAAGAAAAATAAAACACAATAACGTTTCGAGTTCAAGAGAAGGCTCTATAAATGGTAGAGTACCAACCGCCGTTCGAGAGTGAAGAGTTTTTTTTTCTCTCGTGCGGTCACACTGGTTTTCCAGTCCTTCTGCTTAGCACACACTTCACTATAGCCGCCCATTACACGGTGTTGGCTTCTGGTGTATCTTCGGGTTTGATTGATTTATGGGTGCTTTACGGGCGAAAAAAGGTGGCTGGAGGGGGGGGAGGAATGGACAAAAGAAAAAGTAATAATGACAGTAGTGATAATCAAAGCAAAGGGATGGAGACACGGTTAGCGCCTGACACAGCCCGCGCCGCCGTTGCGACGGTCGTGGTCGTCCTCGTCGTTGATGATGATCAGTTTGGTGGGCGGCGTGCCGGTGCTCTCCGGGCGGTGGTCTTCCTGTTCGTTGTTGTTGTGCAGGTTGCTGGACGACACGGTCTCCTCCTGCGGGATCTCGCCCAGGGCGGCCGCCTGGTGCCGGTGGTTGTTCTGGATTAGGTTCTCGATGTGGAACGCCAGGTTGTGCGACGACACCGTGTCCGGCGCGGCCGGCTTGTCGGCCAGTACCCCGGGCCGGTTGCCGCCGATCTGGAATTCGGGATACACAAAGTGGTGATGGTGGTGGGTGGGCGGCAACAACGATTTCGCGTCCTGCGGGCTCTGCAAATTAGACGATAATTATTAATAATAATAATTCTATGCACAGAATAAACAGAAGGCAATCTTGGAGCCATTGAAAAAACGGTCAGACATATTGAGTTTTAGCCAGTGATGCCACCAACTCAGATATTTCCGTGTTTTTTATTTTTCTGTCAATTATGGCTACACTGTTCATTTATTAAACGTCGTACGCCGACAACAATGTCGTGGCCATTTTCCGCGTTTGTCCAGTGAACAGTTTAGAATGAACAAAAAATGAGAATTACCCTACTACGCCTGTCAGCACTGCCCATTTCTCGATCATATTCAAGATGTCGGACATACTCGCCCCATAAGAGTCCATGTAAAAATTGAATAGTTTCCTTTCTGTTTGTTCTGTGGTTTAGCGTTTTATTAAACTATATGCTGTATATACTTATTAATATACAGTAATGAGAATTCTTTATTATTTGCTATTTTTTTATCATACTATCACAGTCTCGTTGCTATAGACAAAATTACATTTATCTTCCAACAAAATAGATTTGTTCGAATCATAACCAAAGTGTTTTTGGAATTGCTGTTGGAATTACTAATTTTTCGAAGTGACTAGAGGAAAATATTGCTTGTGCTTAAGCGTTTTAAAATATATTAATTTAAATATTCAAAGAAAAAACAATATAAATTCCTCAGCTGATTTTCCATCTCTAATCAATAACAATTTCTCATCAGTTAACCAGGGATTATCTTTATCCCATCCTCGCCCTCTCCAGATCTCCAATCCACTCCTATCCACATCTTATATTTCACACCTAATCGCTTCACCTTTAATCTCCTTAAGCCTACTCGTACTCCACTCAATCAGAATCTATTACAGGATGAGATTTCATCTTCAGAGGTTTCATGTGTGTATTTCAAAAGTTTTCAAAGCCTACTGTTACAACGTCATTGACTCCCAAGCTCAAGTCATGCAATCTGACACACGTTCTATCCTTATCATAATCGTCAGCTCATCACCCCTCCCCCCCCCTTTAACCCCACGTCATCGCCAGACTTGAGTAGTATAAATTCCACATTTTTTGTCGAACTTACCGGTTGCTGTTGGTACGGCCTGTGACGGCGCATCCTTCGCCGCCTGTAATTTCCCCGTTCGAACATGTCGGCTGCGGCCACGGGATCCAAAGTCCAGTAGCTGCCCTTGCCGCCTCCCACGTTGTCATCGACGCCCGTGCGGCTCCTGGGTATCTTGATGAAGCAGTCGTTGAGGCTCAGGTTGTGCCTGATGGAGTTCTGCCAGCCCTGCCTGTTCCTCCGGTAGTACGGGAATTTGTCTGTGATGTAGTTGTATATTTCGCTCAGGGTCATCCGCTGTTTGGGCGCCGAAGTTATCGCCATGGCGATCAGGGCGATGTACGAGTAAGGCGGCTTCTCCTGACAGCTCATGTCCATGGTGGTACCCGCCGCTGGCTCGGCGATCGGTTGGTCGAAAATTGGCATCTGCTGCTAAACGATAATAACACTCGTTATTGTTATACCTACTTAAATACAGAGCCTGTACGACGATTGGACATGTTCAAGCATATGCACAACGGTTTCTTAAGCAGGATAATTGAAGGACTAGTAAAGGGAAAAACAGTAGAAGAAGCTTCCCTGAACTGCGTTGTACAGATAATCAAAGACATGAATCGCACATCATATAAACCAGCCTGTAGGTTGCTAAAAAAAGAAACTTGATCACCAATATAGAAATAGAGTGTGTAATCATTTTATTTTTTAAGAGATCTTGCAAGAAAACTCCAAATTTCATATCTCTTATAAATTAGTTTGGGTGAATTCGATATATTTTCTCTGTAACATATATTTAGTCTATCCGCATCACTTCTAGTATGATCATTTCAATCACAACTCTCGTTCTCGCTGCCTAAACTAATCTAACCTACTCTCGAATTCAAGGATTGCTCTACCTCTGTCGTTATCGAACAAAGTCTAAAATAACAACAGTTGTGCGTTCAACTTAATCTAACCATCTCTCGCGCGGTATGACTGGTATCGTATGGTTATTACCCACCGGTAACTGAGGTTTGTTGTTGTCTACGTAGTTGACGGCGTTTTGCAGTCTTAACGATTCCTGTAGGTAGGGCAGGATTCGGGATTGCAGCATGTGCTGGTAGTGCTGCTGGTACAGTATGGGCAGCTGGTGGAACAGAGCTATTGCCGACAGGTTCTGGGGCACGGGTGGCAACGAGGCTATGGCTTCGGCTAACATGTTGCGCTGCTGTTGGCTCTCGACGGTCTCTTCGGTTTTCATTTCACTAGTTTCCGCGGATTGCTCTTCCGACGTATGGGCTTGGCCCCCGCGGTTCATCTGAAACGCAAAAGCAAAAATCAGTCAATATGTCTCTTAATTTTTGGCGGCCAATAGAGTTTGCAGACGCAGACCCTCCCGTTATGCCACGTCTACCAATCAGAACTGATATTTTTAGGAAATTCGATTGGTGGCGTTTGATTGGCTACAGGCGGAGTCACTGACCATACACATTCGTCGTATGGGCCTCCCACATTGGATCATAATAATATGTTTGTCCCTCGATAAATAGCCCTTTAAGTTCCACGCGTCACGGAGAATTAGATTTGAAGATGAGCTGTTTGTGATTCGACACAGCTTTTAACCAGCTTTACCGGACCTGACATGTCTGATATTTGTTTTACAATACCGTGTCTGTTGTAATTTATTGTATTGAAAAACAGAACGCTTTATTATCAGATGAACGCGCGTTACCGGGAAAATAAACCTTTCAGTCCAACGTGGATGTGTTAAGTGCTGGGTGGCAAATAAACCGTATGAGATTTCATTGAATATTCCATCGTTGTTATACGAAAATAATACCTATTACCGTTCGAGTTGTCATCAATCAGTTGTCAAAAGTTTTATTTTTCTACCAAAATTTAACCCCGCCCTCCGACGCAGATAAGATAACGTTTTTAAGTCGTATTCTTTTGTAACCTTCTTTTATTGTTTACACCGCGCATAATCCAACACTGTAGTGTTTAATGGATACAAATATAGTATCTATACATGTTTGTGTATGTTTGTATATTTGTACACGATATTATTCATAATAGGTTACTGGTCGTTAAAATCGACGCTGGTGTATCGTTAATGCGGTTCACAATAGTGGAATGTATCATCTATTATTAAACTAACTAATAATTTCAAACAAAATTATTCGATTAAAAAAATATTTATTTCTACACCTTATATGAAAACACAAACATATGCTGTACGTGATCTGCGCACCTATTCAAAATCTTATTTATATCGGTTCAAAAAACGTAGGAATTGCTTTTGATTTTTTTTTCCTTGATTGTATAAAAAAGAGAATACCATACGATAAACACATAATTTTATATACATGTTATATGCTATACCATGTCATCTAATTCGACAAAATCTAAACATATTATAATATTATATTATGTATTCTTATATTACAACATTTATTTATAAATATTTAATATAGCAATAAACATTTAAATTTTAATTAGGCAATTTCAAATTTATATTACACACATAAAAATGTAATAATGCTTTCATAAACCCTAAGACTATTTAAGTATTTCAACCTAACCGGTATAGTGTAAGTGTTGAGCGAAATTTTTACTAATACAATTAAAACAAGAAACCTGTGCTATAATTTTTTTTTCACATATCATGATAAGAATATTAACATTAATATTGTAAGTAATGTAATCGACAACTGCACAAAATATTCGATATTATTTTGTTATAGCACTTGTTCGTTCGGTATCTATTTTATTACTATTTTATAATACAATATGATTTCTATGATTTTCTTTTTTTTTCTAATGGCAAACGGTCGACGACTAAAACGGTAATAAATCGTTATGATATTTAATCCACACTATTATAATAATAATAATAATATGTTATTGTGGGCGATAAAAATTACCGTTTACATTAGTGACCGCTTATAAGCAATAACAATATAGTGTGTACTATTATTGGATGTATGTGCCGTGTGTTATGCATGCTGTTGTGTGTATGTATGTACACTGTAAATGTCGAGAATAATTTATTATTATTATTATTATTATACATTTTTTTTTATATTATTCCAAACGGCAGAGCTATAAAGCTCGCGATAAAAGACAGTGGCTGTTGACAAATGTGCCGTTGATGCATTCGTGGGCATAAATAAAAAATATAAAAAATGACACACTCACAAAACGTATGTATGTTTACAATACAAAAAAAAAAATATATATATAACCGAAAAATAAATAACGAAATTATTTATGTGTTTTTTTTTTAACTACAATAATATTTTATCATCGGTCATCCCGGCAAGCCGATATTATTAAACAATATATCACTATATTGGTATTATAATAATATATTCATATTGTTACAGCCCGTACGACGGATGTTACTTTCGATTGGTACACAAATTGTTAAAATAAATATATAAAATACTAAAACTAAATATTGTCCCCGAGAAAAAGAAGATGATTGTCGAAGACTTCTTAGCCGCGACAAAGGGGCGCTGCTGCCTTTATCGAACGGGTTTTACCGACAAAACGCAGTGTTACCAGTTGGGTGAAACGAAAAAAAAAACAATCATATTATTTTCCCCAATAAACGACCGAATTGTTGTTATAAAAACCGCAAGACGACGTCGTCGTCGCTTATTATACACCAGTATGTTGCGTAGTACAACTTATAAAAAATAAGGGCAAAACAAACACAAACGTGAAGTCAAAAGAAAATACGTTGGCAACACTTGTTGGAACGTTAACGCACGCACTGTACCGTGACGACGGTGTGTGTGTGACTTGTGTGTCGACAGCAAACAAGTTGTGACAATGTGTGTGTGTGTGCCACCTAAATGTAATGAATTTTACAGACTGAATTATTATGGAAAAAAAAAAAAATACAACAGTCCAAAATGATGAACTTAGAAAATTTCGTTTGAAAGTTGAATTTCAAATACAGCGTCGAACAATACACATATATGTAGTTGTAAAATTCGACGTTACATTTAGTGTGCATTTTTTTTTTTTTTTTAATATCTTTGCCTTCGTTCGATCTGCGATCAAAGTAAATATTTGTAGTATTATATTAGATTTTGTCGAGTATATATTAACATTGCCGATAGGACTTTTTTTTAAAAATATACTCCACTCATACACACACTCTAGCAAACTTGTTTGAAAAGCGGATTGACGGCTTAGAATTAAAAAAAAAAATCAAGTACAATTTATCGTACAGAAGTCAAGTTCGATAAAAAAAAAAAAAAAAACAGTGCATTGTTCTTAACTAAACACAATGAGAAGTGATTATTATAATATCTGAAAGCAATAACAAGAAACGAGTATGGAATGAGAAAAAAATTAGATTTTTCAAAGTTTTCTACTTTTCAAGTCCGAAATTGTATTTAGATAATATATACATTCTACATTGGGTTATCTAACATATATCATTATACATATTAGAAGATCTATAAATAGGTATATTTAGTTTAGAAGGCACGTCTCACGGACATTAAAAGAGTACATAATATATTAAACATATTATTATTATTATTTTTAATTTACTTTGCCTTTGGCCATAGTATTTTATTTACCGTCCCCACAAGTCGTCGAGGCTCATCGCCATCGTTAATGGTAATTGTTGTGTTTTTAACAATTATCATTAAAACAACGCGATTTTTCTATATTTGTTTTGTATTCAACCTAAATTCGATTGAAACGAATTATACACAAAAGAGGGAAAATATCATATTCGGCCTAATATTATTATATTATTTTATTAATGTTAACAGGCGACCAGTGACTAATATTGTTTTGTTATTCGGGGCAATTATTATTAAACATACTATATTTATACATACATACATACATATATATATATATATATATATATATATATATTCACAACATCTTATAACATACAACATTTAAGTACAAATATCAATATAAATGTACATGCCTAACATATAATATACATATTGTATTTATATAATATGTACATATATTTACTTAAACGGTATATATTCGTTTAACGTTTTCACTTTTTGTTCATGAATATTGTTTAGAATATAGAAAAACTTATATGCACATACAATATGACATAATAATATATCACAATAGTAAAAATTGTAACCTAGTAGGTGAACATTGAGTTTAAATAACTTCTGGGCGCACAATAAACATTGTACAGTCGCCATTGCTATATTGTGTATTGTACACTTTAGCACACAAAAAGCAAAAGGTAGCAAAAAAAAACAATATCATTAGACAAACAGCGTGTACGTTTTTTTTTTTGCAACCATTAACAAATCCGTATAAAAAAAACCGATTGATTTAAAACTATTTATTATATATTATTATAAAAATACTGTTAACCGATGAAATATACCGTATAAAACGGTTTAAAAAAATTTGAAATATTAAATCAACAATACATCTTATTAAATCAATCGTCTTTACCACAACACAACCTCATCCGGCAAAGTCTCAATTTTTTTCTTCTTCAATTTATATATATTTTCAGCGGCGAAACACACACACACGCCGTCGGTTTTTTATATACATATATATAAATCATATTAACAACGTTAAAATATAATTTTTATACGGAATATTATTAATTGTTATTGTTAAAATTATTATACTCACGGCCATTGTAAAATATTAAAAAAAAAAAAATGATCCAACTCGAGTTTTGGACTTCCTTCGCGTACTTGTTTGTACTTGTATTTTGTTTTACCGTTAACGTGTACAGCTGTATTACGTGGTGGTTGTTGTATTGTGTGGGTACGGAATAATAATAAAAAAAAAAAAAAAAAAAAAAACAATAATATAATATTGTTTGTATAAGTGTTTCGTTGTTCTTAATTTTTTTATTGAAATATGTTTACTATTTGTAAATAAATGGTCGTTTTGCATTTTCAAACACGTTTTCGCCTCGTGATAGCCAAAAGAAAAAACACACAATTTTTATGACAAAAAACCGACAAATTTGTTTTTTTTTAAACGTACAAAACTACTATATAACAAGAGTAATAATTATACAGGGGGGGGTTACTAGCTTTTGAATATAGTTTTTTTTAGTTTTTTTTTAATGATACGCCGTTAAAAAAATGCCTTAACCCGGCAAAATATAATCCAATCGGCACAAACACGGATTTTACGTTTTCAACGCTTAAATTAATAAAAAATAAAAAAAACCCAAACCGATATTATGTGTTATTGTTTTAGAGTTCATTGTGTACGCTTAGCAAAAATATATAAAAAATAAATAACCTAAGCCGAAAAACAAAATGACATTCTTAAAAAGCTACA